CCCTGATCTTTTCCCCTTTGGGCCCGGGCCCCCCGGCACCGCATCCGTCACTTGCTCCCGCTGGCTTGCAGGGGGCACCAGCGCCTGGAGCAGCAGGGAACGGCGGCTCGGAGTCCTGTAGAAGGATTCAACGGAGAGGGGAAAATGCGACTCTAGTCCTGTAGAGAGGCCCCTCGGCCTGCAGGGAGACAGCCGGAGAGCACAGGCATTTACGGAGGGAAGGAACTTTTATGCAACTATAAAATAATCCCCTCCCTACAACGATTTGATAAGCAAAATGTGCAGAACTTCTGCCAACAATAACAAAGTCTTTTTTTTTCCCCCCCTACAAAGAGCTTTTTTTCCTCTTATTGCACAAGACTACCACAAAATTCATCTTCCTTTATTGGGCTTTTCTTTCATCATCTTTTATGTTGCTCCTTGCCTTGTTCCAACAGGCAGCATCAGCCAAATGCCCTGACGTCTCCGTGCAAGAGGTGTTGGAAGGGCTGGCTGGGACAAATATTTCACAGTTAGGACTATCCCATAACTGTAAAAACAAACAATAGTTTTATAAGAGCTGGGCAAAGTGCTTCTCCAAACAGGCTGCTGAAGTGAAATACAAGTTTATACACTGCACTTTGTCCAGCCCCATAAACTCTGCTCATAGGCATCCCACAGTATGTTGTTATTGCTCTCTCTGCGTGCTCTCCATTAGCTGCAGAAACGTGGATAATTGGGGAAGTCCTTTAATTCTTATACTTGTGCCTGACAATCTCACGTTAACGTAATTCTTGACAGGCAGATGCATGCAGTGATTTAGTGGTACTACCCGCGCAAAGCCTGAGACTGGAGCTGTTCTGCTGCAATGGGAGATTTGCACGGGCTCCGCGAGCTCCACGGAGGGTTCCACGTGCCGGTTTGGTTCTGCTCGAGGAAGCACATTGGCAGAGACCCAGTGGATGATGTCTAGTCTGATGAGTTAATCCTGCTTCACTAAGGAGCACAGCAGCCTTTTAATAACTTCGGTGGAATTTCGCTAATGACTTAAAAGGGCATCTGTGTACAAGGTCATGAGCTATGGGCTTTGGAGAGGTAAACTTTTTTTTTTTTGCTACATTTCTGCTTAGCACAAGGACTATTTTACATAGTGATCTTCCTCCCAAAGCCACTAAGTCACCCTTAATATTGTGTGTAAGTCTGTAGAAGCAGAATAGAAGTTGTCTCGTGTACAGATCAGTCCTGCAAGGCTGGCAGCTCTTGTTTGTTTTGTTTAGACAAATTATAGCTCTGATGTCATCAGGAAAGAAATGCAGGATGACTGGAATGATGAGCTGGTTTCCCAGAAGAATTGGTCCAGGGCACAGCTTGGTTTCTGTCAGCTCAGGGGCTGGATCTGAAATCCCAAAAACTGGAAGGAACAACTGTGCAGGTACGTAGGGACCTGCTTACTTTTACTCCATCCAGAATAGCAATAGCTCCCGCACTGTCAGGCAAAACATCCCAATAAGAGCCCATCCCAAGCCCTGTCTTACTGACTCTTAAACATTTTCATATGTTCAATCGTTCCTACAGCACATATCACTGCTCTCAGCTTGCAAACCTTGGCAATCTACACCAATGCCTTTAGTGTTTACTGTACAAGAGGCTCCCACTACACTCCGCAGTAAACTGTTCCCAGCTATTCTCTAGACTTTGTCTGTAAACTTTTGTAAGGAGTGAATTTGTGCAAATTTAGGCATGGATATAAATCTCTGTCCTGGAGAAAAAAAAAAAAAAAAAAAAACTGCCCTTGCCACTGAGATGCTGCTGTGCTGGAGCAGGAAAGCAGGAGGTCGAGGTAGCTAAAAGCAGAAGGGATCCGTGCGGGTGACCCGGCTTGCTGAGAGGCAGGAACTAAAGCAGCAGAAATAGAGAAGTATCAGATTCTCCTCCTTCCCTTACACCCTTCTGCAGGGTTATTTCCTCTCCAGCTGTAAATACGATGCAGATTACATGTTTACGAGCCTGCTAATCTAGTCAGGTGATTTTAACCTTCTCACTGCTGAAAGCTTTGTGTTAATTTGAAGGAATTACTGCTGCGCTCAGGGAAGCTTTCTATAGCATCAGATGTTTAAGCAAGCCCTGTTGCATTCCCCTCGTGTCGCAACCCATGCCCTTTGCAACGAGGCCGATCACCACCCTGCCTGCAGTGAGAGATCTGATTAGTTCAATGAGTTTAAGTGAGATCTGATCAGTAAGTAATGCAATTTATAGTGACGAGTTTGGATACGCAGCTTCGCTCACCAGTTCAATGCAGAAAAGCTCATTCCAGGCATTACGGACATCTTGCATAAGTCCCATTTGGGGGATTTAAGTCAGATGGGCATTTTGTGTAGGTCCTTCCCAAGGGCAGAGGCACCTGTGTTTGTGAGAAGGACAGTGACACATCCAGGCAGCCTTAACATGCAGGGGCTGTGGGACATTTGACAGGGCAGACTCAAGTGTGCTCAAGGCAAAGGAAAAGGGCAAGATCTTAAACCTTTGAAAGGATTATAGGTGGACTGGGCGAGACTGAGAGATAATGGACAGGTTTAGCAGCTCTGGTGATTGAGTGCAGCATGCAGTGATGGCTCTCGGAAGGAAGGGAATTTAGGAGATCCTATGATGCTGTATTTTCTCTGGTGCAAATTTTCTTGAGCCGAAGAGTGCCTGACCCTTGGTTGATGCTCTCCCTTGAACAGTCATCCATCCTTCCAAGAACCCCAGCTCTGGCAGGGCTGCTCTGTGTGCTGATCATCACTTCTTCGGAAGATGTGGGACTTCTTTGGAAAACACATCCTTACAAGAGTATCCCGCGCACATTATTAGTCTAGGGAAATGCCCTGTACTGCAGCTTCTTTGCCATGTGGTTGGGAAGAGCTGGTTTGAATCATTCATTCACAAATCCTCCTATAAACATCCCATACATTTTTCATGTGGTGAGCACACAGCCCTCCCTAGTGTAGAGCTATACAATTAAATCAATCAGAGCCTTATTCTTAAATACTTAATGTCACGTAGGAAAGCCTGAGTCACTTCCCAAGGCACACAGCAATCAGCACAGCGGTCTGCTGGCAGTGTCTTCCTCCTGGGGCTCTGCATGTAACTGTGCTTTAACAAGAAATCTGCAATGACAGGAGAGGATTACATAACTCGTCATGGTTGAACACACATCTATGAGGAATCCGGGAGAAATGTCCATTCTGCACCAATAGGTATCAAAAGAAACTAGGATTTCCAACTGGAAATAACTGTTGTCGTATTAAAAACACTGCACGTCACACGGTTCATGTGACAGTGAGGGCGACATCCCGAATCAATCCTGGCCAGCAGCTTTGGGATGCAAGGAGTGCTGCTTCACCTGCAGGAAACGAGAGGATTTTTCCATAACTGCTAAGGGAAATATTTCAAGTTCTTTTTTTACCAAGCTCCAGCGTGTTTGGGCCTTGGGACAAAAGCAGCGTCTTTCTCTCTGTTTCCCTTTTGCTGAGACAGATGGAAGAAAAAAAAAAAAAAGAGAGGAACTGGCAAGAAGAGATACCTGAGTGTGATATATATAGCAATGCTGGACTAGAAAAGGCCTGTTGGATCACCAGGTCTGACTTGACTTTGACTGGAAAAACCTGTACAGAAATTTCTCACACTTCATCTAAATACTAGCAGTTCCTCCAACTGGAACACTGTTCCTCTGATTCCCAGCCTAAAGATATTCCTGACCTGTTTATTTTTGCTTAGTTTTGGGCCATGATTTTGCAAAATTTTAACGCCCAGCCCACGTAAGTAGTTTACATACTTTCTCATATCAGATGCTTACGCCAAATCCTGCCATTCTTGAATGTAGAAAACTCACAGTGACTTTGGTAACTCATTCCCCTCATCATGTTGGAATAAAGGCTTGTAGGTTTGACCTCATCCACAGCAGCTCCCAATTCCAGCAACACTTTGACTGCTTGAAGCTATATCTGTGCAGTCCAGTGCTTCCTGTAAGGTAGAGCTTTTAGTCCAGGAGCTTGGACTGGATATTCAAAATGATGTTTTACATTTGTGCCATCA